TGGGATTCTCTCTCCTCCGGGATCGTTAGCCAGGAGCGGGCTGGGCATTGGTCGACGGGTGGTGAGCAATTGCACAGCGCGTCACTCCTTTGTATGTTCTATTTCCATTGTTATTATCATTATTATTTAAAATTTATTTTATTTCACTTATTAAATTGTTTCTATCTCAACCTATAAGTTACCCCTCCAATTCTCTCCTGTATTCCCTGGCGTGGAGGAGAGTGAGCGAGCAGCTGCGTGGTGTTTGGCTCCTGGCTGAGTTAAACCACAACAAGAGTTTAACCTGCCAGGGTTTAACCTGCACAAATGTCCCTTCAGGCACAGCAGCTCCCTGCAACCCTTCTCACCATGAAAATACGGGTGAGCCTCAAATGTGCTGAGTTCATGGGTGTCATTAAAGATCCAAGGACAGTGACAAATATTGAGCCCTGAGTGGTGAAGAAGGATGATGTTGTGGGTCAAAGCTTTTTTTGGGGGGGGCAAACTCTTGGACTTAGGGATCGACGTGCTGCCCATGTTGCTGTTCAGAGTCTCTTTGACCTGGGATGAGGTGACAGTTCTGGCCCAGCTGGTGGCATCTGAGAGCATCTCAGGGCTGTGTCATGTGTGGGGCAAACCAATATCGAATTTGCCTTGTAGCACGAGGAGCAATAGGGAGAGAAGTAACCACTTTGGTGAAAGAATTAAAAAAAAATAGTGATCAAAGGAGTGAGATAAAAAATAATGGCAGAGACAGGCTTCTGCGTGGGATTATTTAATAATAAGGTAATTAATGCTTTACACCTCGCTGGCTCCTTTCATGTAAGGATCACAAAGCGCTTCACAAACATTAATTAATCTTCCCTAACATCCCTGCAGGGAAGGTCACTGAGCTACTGAGCGTAAGGGAAATCTTGTCATTGATGAAGGTGGCTGCTCTCTAGGCATGACGGATGCTCGGGTGCGATGGCAGGACAAGGAGAGTTTCTCTTCCTTCAAATGATTTCCCATAACTTCCTCCGAGAGGAAAAACATCTCTGAGTTGTCACGGGCAGCTGGGACTGGGCAGAGGTGGGTCTGAAAGATGACCAACCCCAAAGCTGTTGAGGACACTGAGAAGGCCAGGGGTCTACCCAGGCAAACCCCAGCACCAACGCACACACAAGGTTTGAGTGAACGTCAGGCACCTGTGAAGGGCAAATCTGTGACTATTGGGAAAAAGTGGCTTCCAATTCAGATCTGAGCTGTGGCTGGTCCTGCAGAAGGCAGGACAAAGAACATCAGGTGTCAAAGGGAGAAGGAAGACATTTTCTGATGATAAATATTCATCCTGATGTCACTGATCTGTGATGTTCAGGTGGCTACAGAGGATTGCGTCTCCATGTGGGGTTTTATATCTTCGGGGCAGTAAAAAGGTCTAAGTCAGTTTGTGGCTCCAGGGAAGACACTTGTCCCCAGCTGTGCCTGGAAGAGTGTCCCCTCTGCATCATGTCCTGCCCTGGAGAGGTGGAGGGTCCAGCTTTGGGGTGTTGGAGCATCCTGTTGGGATCACACTGTCACATTGCTCAGTATTGCAAATATCTTTGGTTGTCCTTGTTCCCAGACCCTGGCAGTGGTGCCACCATGGCTGCGCGAGACCCGGCCTTGGGCTGCCTGCGTGGGAAGGAGCAGCTGCCAGGTCAGTGTGTGACAAGTGTGTTTGGGGGTTTTTCCTTTTTTTGAGGCAGTTTATGAGAAAGTTGAATATGGGACAGAATTGTGAGGTGGGGAAAAACCAGATTTGGGGTGAAATGGTCTGGAAGGATTGGAACTAGACGATCTTTAAGGTCCTTTCCAATCCCAACCATTCTATGATTATGATTATTTAACATTCTATGATTGACCCTCAGCTGGGGTGCAGGAGTTGGGAACATGGCTTGGGATGTCCCTTGCTTGGTGGTATCTGCACTGGGATAGCAAAAATGAAATCAGTAGAGGAACGACCAGTCTTCAAAGTAGCAAAGACTGTACTGGGAGGAGTCATCCTTCACCTGGCCTGATTATACTATTAAAACATTTGGGCTCAGGTTTTGGTTTAACAAACAAAGATCTTGCAGCCCAGGTGGTCAACTGTATCTTGGGCTGCATCACCAGTAGCGTGGGCAGCAGGTGGAGGGAGGGGATTCTGCCCCTCTGCTCCACTCTCCTGAGACCCCACCTGCAGTGCTGCCTCCAGTGCTGGGCTCCTCAGCACAAGAAAGATGTGAACCTGTTGGAGGGGGTCCAGAGGAGGCCACAAAAGTGATGGAACACCTCTCCTATGAGGACAGGCTGAGAGTTGGGGCTTTTCAGCCTAGAGAAGAGAAGGCTCTGGGGAGACCACATGGCACCTTTCAATACTTGAAGGGGCCTCTAAGAAAGATGGGGACAGACTCTTTAGCAGGGTCTGTAGTGACAGGACAAGGGGTGATGGTTTTAAACTAAAAGAGGGAGATTTAGACTTGATGTAAGGAAGACATTTTTTACACTGAGGGTGGTGAGACACTGGCCCAGGTTGCCCAGAGAGGTGGTGGATGCCCCATCGCTGGAAACATTCAAGGTCAGGTTGGACAGGGCTCTGAATAACCTGATCTGGTTCAAGATGTCCCTGTTCACTGCAGGGGGTTGGACTAGGTGGCTTCGAAAGGTCCCTTCAACCCAAACCATTCCATGACCCAGCTCTGTCCCAGTTGTTCCTCCAGCTGCTCTCAAGGTGTAGGTGCACTATAGAAAGCCCATCTTGCCAGCCATGAGCCCAGTGGCACCATCACTGATCCTCATGTCCTCAGAGGCCAGAGGTGGATGGCCAAGGCCTGGCTCTGATGAGAGCTGGTGGATATCCACTTGCTTTTCCAGCTTTCACCTGGGAGGTGAGGGCCAATGACCGGAACTACCACATGCAGTTCAAGAAGAAATTTGCCTTCTGTCTGACCAGGAAGAAGTACGCGGTGAGTCAGCCTGGGCCAGTCCTGGGCCATTTCCTTACTCAGCCCCTGATTCCTGAGCTGGTGGTGGTTGGGGGTGACACGACACAGATGCTGCAGAGTTATCTCCAGTAGGATGGAGAATCACATACATGATCCTCAGTGAAGAAGAAGGGGCTGCTCCCTGCCTGGTGCCCCAGATACCCTCTGAAGCTGTCAGACTAGGAGCAGAGCTCTACGAAGGACACTTTTTAGTCTGATGGAACAGTTTTGATGGAACAAAACCAGATTTTTTTTTGCAGATCAATAATGACCACCTTGTTGGGAGTCAGCTGGACGTGCTTTAGATGATCAGAATCAAACATATTTTGTTTCAATTTTAAGTCATTTGGCCCTTTGCTCTAAAACATCTTCTTTTCCCCATTTGTAAGTTTTCAAAAGCATCTCTAATGCCCCAAAAAGTTGAGAAGTCCCCAAAATACCAGAATGTCTTTGGCATTTTCAAAACACATCCTTGATTTCACATGGCTGGATTCCCACTGTGGCTTTGACCTGCCTGTCTTCTGCAGGGCAATGCCATTAAAACAGCCAAGTACAACATCTTCACCTTCCTACCACTGAACCTCTACGAGCAGTTCCACCGAATGGCCAACGTCTACTTCGTCTTCGTCATCCTCTTACAGGTGAGATGGACACCAAGGTAAGGGACAAGCGTGTGTGAGACTGTCAAGCAAAGGAGGGTTGTCTGCTGTTTAGAGTAGGGGACTCTGGTCTGAAATGGTGTCAAGGATGCTGCTTTTCAGTGGTGTTCATTGTCTTTCATGAACTCTGAAGGGTTTGTGAAGTTAAGTTTGGTTACCTTACACTGATTGGATGTGGAGGTAAGCTGAGCTCATGTACACCACTCCTAGACAGAAATCCTACCCTCCAATGCCGTGACCGACATGCATTTCACACATCCCGTTTAAAAAAATGTGGAAATTCAACAAACCAGTTCCGTGCAGACAGAGATGTTGACTTGATTCATCTTAGATGGGTTCCTGCCATCCTCAGGTGCTGGCTGGGGAGGGGAGCTGTGAGTGAATGGGAGTTAGTCACCTAAACTGTCACATGGTGGAATAAAAGTTGTGTCAGTAGTGTAAAATTCTCCTTCTCTAGACCTTCCCTCAGATCTCCACACTGCCCTGGTACACCCTGCTGTTCCCCTTGAGCTGCCTTCTCACCATCCGGGGTCTACGAGACCTGATCGATGACATTGTGAGTATGGGTTGGAGCCAGAGGCTGAGTGTTGGGTGTAGGTCCTGAGGGGGATGGTCAGCAGAAAGGGTCCCTTTGCTGTGGGGTGAACTGAAAAGCTTGGGAGTTGCTGTCATTCATGGTTCCTGAGGTACCATCAACTCCACCATGTCCAGAATGCTTTGTATTTTCCCTTGGGAGGGTTGTGACTGGCCAGTTGCTTTCCTTGGGTTCTAGACCCCCATCTCTGTCATCTTTAATATCTTACCCAAGGGCTATATTCCCAGGTTGGTCTCCAGAAATATCTTGGGGAAAAATTGCCTCTTTATTCATTAGAATATATCTTCTGATTGCTTCAGAAAGCAGATCTTCACCTGGGGCTGAGGAGGCAGATTGTGGCATGGAGGATTGTTTTAATGAGACAAGGAAGCCTGGCATGGCCCATCCCTTTCTTTTAGCCTCTTTTTTTCTCTCCTCTGTGCAGGGTCGTCACCAAAGTGACAGAAACATCAACAGCAGACCATGTGAAATCCTGTCCGGGAAGAGGTGAGGGCCTTTGGGAAGCTGTACCCATGTTTTCCAGGTCTGTGTGGAACGATGGATCATCTGAAGTGCTGAGCATCCTTGAGCATAGCAGCTGAGAAAGGTGTTGGTGGGAATGTCCCAAACTCTACAAACTGCCATCATCTCCCAAAATCTGCTGCAGGTCCAGCTGTTCCCCTGTAGGAATGACCATATTCCAGTCACAGACAACAGGTCTAAAAAAGCCCTGATTTGCTGTGATGTGCTGGGAGGAGGGTTTCCTGGCCACAGAAGTTCCTCCAAGTCTTCATATCCAACCCATGGAATCATTTTCCTGCTAAACACTGGTCCAGGGGAGGACCAACATTTCCCACCTGCAGCCAGGGGCTGAAAGTCCCTGATATCTGTAGGTACAGGGGATATGGATGTGACAAATGGGTCTTGTGCCATCCTCGGTGCTCAGCCATCCTTTGGTCATACAGATGGTACCATGGTGGCAGATGAACCAACAATCTGGAGACCTTGGTTCATGCAAGAAGTTGGGACAGACACAGGCTGGTCCAGAGGACAGAAGCAGCAGTGGTTCCTGTTCCCACTGCTCTGCAAGGATTAAAATTCCCCCCTTAATTCTCCTGCAGCTTCCGCTGGCAGACATGGCGTGACATCTGCGTTGGGGACATCATCCGCCTGCGTAAGGAGAGCATCGTCCCGGTGAGCAGGGTCCTGGAGCTAGGGTGGGAGGGGACAGTTTTGGTGAGAAGGGGCTCAGCCAGGTCCTCCCTCCTCCTTTTTGCTTTTCAAGGCTGACATCTTCTTGCTGAGCAGCTCAGAGCCCAGCAGCCTGTGCTACGTGGAGACTGCTGACATCGATGGGTGAGGAGCAGGGCAGGGGGGAGAGGGGCAGAGACATCCTGGCATTGAGGGGTCAGGCATGCTGAGAGGGCTGCAAGACCAACAGAAACAGTAGCATGTGGGAGATCCTTCAAAAGCTAAACTTACAGCCACCCCAGAAATGGGATTTGAGCCCTACATTTGGAAAATGGGAAGCCAAAACCACTTTTGAGGCTTCCACAGAGCAGCTGGTGACCTCCAGCATCTCTCTCCATCTCTCAGCTCCCTCCCGGCCATGCTGAGGACAGTGGCTGCCCATCCCTCCTGCTTCTGTCTGCAGGATGATTTAATGGCAGAGTCCCCAGGCCAGAGCTTCCTCCCTGCTTGAGTGCTTGATGTCTGGCATGATAGGTCCCTATCTCACTTTTCATTGCCATCGCTCATGTAATCACCTGATAATTAATGGCCATCTCTGTCCCATGGGTCTGGCAGCAGAATTAACAGCTCTGTCACCCCACAGCCTTGTTTTATTTCCCTTCCCTGGTTCCTCTTCACAGGGAAACGAACCTGAAGTTCAGACAAGCGCTTCTGGTCACCCACCAGCAGCTGGTGAGCGAGGAGAGCATGGCTGCCTTTGACGGTGAGTCTCCTGGATGGGTGAGGATGTGGTTGTCCCATCCCCGAGGATGAGATCGGTTCAGTCTTGGGAAGTCTCTGTCCCCTCTGGCCCCAGGTGCCATCAGCCTAACTGGAGGTTGCACTTGCTCCTGCCTACAAGGCTGGAAGGTGGTTCATGCCAAAAGACCTTGTGTGGAGACCCTTCCCCAGCAGAGTGGCTCTGTGATGGGTCCACTGGGGTTGTGCACCTTCCCCCTGACCTGGATCTTGATTTTCCCACTGGAATCAAGTGTTTGACCCCCAAACCTGAGCTCAGGCCCTGGATTTTTCCCCCGTGGTTCTTCATAGGATGCAGAGTCTCCTCTCAGAGTCTTTGGGGATGAAGGGGGTTGTGTTTGTACCTTGTCCAATTCTACAGCCTGGTGCTGTTCCTGGACTGACACCCTCCAGCACATCAGGGTGGCCCTCCAGCTTAGCCTGACCTTCATTTGAGCCATTCCATCTCCCAACTGCATCTGGAGATGCCCTGGCAAAATCTGAATCTCCCCTGAGAAGCCCCCAGCACCCCTCTTTGGAGGGGCCAAGTGTGGTGAGGGGGAGAGGAAGGACTTTTCGTTTCCCTCAAAGCCATGACCTGAATCGTGTCTTCTGCTCAAGGGAGAGTGACCTGTGAGGAACCCAACAGCCGCATGCACAGCTTCACCGGCACGCTGGAGTGGAGGGGTGAGACCTACTCGCTCGACAGCGAAAGGATCCTGCTGCGAGGCTGCAAACTTCGCAACACCGACGTTTGCTATGGCTTGGTCATCTACGCAGGTGAGTGCCCAGGTCCAGATCAGGAAGGGCAGAAAATACCCAGGTCCCCGGGGGTTTTAAGCTACCCAAGAACTTCTAGCATCAGCAGGTCCCATTCTCAGCTGATACCAAGTGGGAAGACCTGCTGCTGTAACCAAGCCCCCCCAGAAGTTTGTCCCAAGCTTTGCTGGTGTTGGGCTTGCTGGCAGGGAGATGATGTGGTGGTACCAAACATCTGCTTATCCCAAGTAATATTTCAGCTACATCACATCCTGGATCCATTTCACCTGTGGCCTCCTGCACAGGTGGCTCAGTGCAGTGGAGAGATTGGCCATGAGCAGCTGTGGGTAGAGGAGTGGGGTAAGACCTGGTGTGAGCAGCACTTTGAGTCAACAGCCACAGCTTGATTAACCACTGATCAAGGGATGTGGTTCTCTGAATTCATCAGAGGTGGAGAGATGTTGTTACGGAGGAAACCAGCATCACTTGGCTGCAAGTCAACCTTCTAGAGGCTACGGACTTGTGTTTTTACTTCTAAAATGTTTCTCGTCCAGGATTTGATTCCAAAATTATGAGGAACTGTGGAAAGATCAAGAGGAAGAAAACCAAGCTGGACCGCATGATGGACCGGCTAGTGATCATAGTGAGTGTGGTGCAAACACCTCCTGCTCTGGTCCACTGGCCTCTTGGGGTTGCTCACAAGTCTTCTCCTGAGAGGCTGCTTGCTTGGGTGATGCTGATTTTCTTAAGCTTGCAATATTTTGCTCAAAATATCTTGGGTTTAACAAGTTATGGACAAATACCAAGTGATGTTCCCAGGAAGTGGCAGTTGCTGGGTCTGGAGCAGTCTGCTTGGTGGTTGTGTTGCTTAAACTCTGAACCCCAGCAGCTCTGAGTCCTCAGCTCCTCAGTCCTTGGACCAGGGAGCTGGAGTATTCAGGATCTCCAACCCCTCCTGGCCTGTTTTACTCATCCATAACCATGCAGGTCCAATGAGGTGGTTTGTGTTGAGGGACCTACAGGCTGTGGCTCAGCACAAATTAGATGCAGGATGGGGGAAGGAGGAGCCTGTCCTCTGTGGGAAGCCAAGCAGCATGGTCATAACAGTGAACTGGATCACTCTTACTCCAGTTCCTGGTGGTTGAGTGTCATTGCTCCTCAGACTGGCCACAAGCATTCCTCTGTCTGCTGGGAACTTCAGCAAGAAGTCTGCAGGACACCCCTTGTCCAGGGAGATGGTGCCTGAGGCAATTAGGGGGGTGGGAAAGTTGCCTTTGGCTGTGTGTGTGTTGAGGATGTGTCCAGCTGAAATACGTGTTGAGATCCTTCATCTCTGCCCAGGATGAGCTCTGAGGGTCACCTCCAGGCACAAGGACACCTTTCTGCAGGTTTACAGCTAAATGAGACAAACAGTCTGGAAGGGGCAAGGGTTGGTCCTAGAAATGAGTTTGGTGGGCTCTGTGTGATGGGACATTCTCATCCTGGCTTTCCCATCTCAGATCTTCCTGGTGCTGTTGGTCACGTCACTATGCCTCACCATTGCCTCTGGGTTCTGGGCCAGGATGTTCCAGGAGAAGCACAGCTACCTCTCTGCTTTCTACAAGCACACCACCCCTGCCCAGCAGGCCTTCTTCAACTTCTGGGGCTTCACGATCCTCCTGAGCATCATCATACCCATGTCCATGTATATAACGTAAGAACATCAGAGATCACTACCCCGCTCCCTGTCCTTGGCCATCCTCTGGCATCTTGGTTTGCAGCCACAAAATGGGGCTGCACCAAAGATCCAACTGTGACCCTGAGCAAGTTGTTCCCCTATGTTCCCTCAGCCATAAGAGGGGAAGGATGGATGGGGTGTGTATCTTACAAACATTGATGATGTGCTTTGAGATCTCAGAAGAAAGCCAGAAAAGAGGTGCAAAGACACATATTGATGCTGGAAATGGTGGACAGGCTGAGAGAGTTGGGGCTGTTCAGCCTGGAGAAGAAAAGGCTCCGGGGAGACCTTCTAGTGGCCTCCCAGTACCTGAAGGGGCTCCAGGAAGGCTGGGGAAGGACTTTTCATAAGGGCAGTTGTGATAGAACAAGGAGCAATGGGTTTAAACTGAAAGAGGGGACGTTTAGATGAGATATTCTTGGCTGTGAGGGTGGTGAGCCAGTGTCCCAGGTTGGCCAGAGAAGCTGTGGCTGCTCCTCCCTGGAAGTGTTCTCGGCCAGGTTGGATGAGGCTTTGAGCAACCTGGTCTAGTGGAAGGTGTCCCTGCTGCTGGCAGGGGGGTTGGGACTGGATGAGCTTTAAGGTCCCTTCCAACCAAAACCATTCTATGATTCTATGATAAGCTGAGGATGAGGCTGGTGAAGGTGGTGTTTCCCCACTGAGCAGCAGCAGGCTGGGGAAGAGAAGGGCACAGCCTTTGTGAGCAGCCAATAATGACAATTTGTGTTGGGAGAAGCAGTTTCCAAACTTTTCAGCCCTTCACTGAATCTCCAGAGCTATGAATTTTGTCATCAAGGGCCAGACTTCCAGAGGGGAACTCAGTTGCTAGGGTCTCAGTAGGGTCTCAGTCTGGTGTGCTGAATGTTCTGGGAACCTGACCACGAACAATGAAAACCCTCTTGCGTCCCCCAAGCTCTGAGCAACAGGAGTTTCCCCTCTGCCCTTTCTTCCTGTGTCACATCCCCAAGTGTCCCTGGGATGGGAGCAACACAATCTCCTTCCCCAGTGTAAGTTTTCTCCTACCTGACTCCCTAGGCTGGAATTCATCTATCTGGTGAACAGCTTTTTCATCAACTGGGATCTGGAAATGTATTACGCCGTCAAGGACATTCCAGCTAAAGCCAGAAGCACCAGCCTCAATGACCAGCTTGGCCAGATCGAATATATCTTCTCAGACAAGACCGGCACCTTGACACAAAACATTATGAGCTTCAAGAAATGCTGTATCAATGGGATCATCTATGGTAACTTTTGGTGGAAGCAAGTTTGTAGGGACTCATGAGTTAGGTAAACCTTGAATTGGTTCTTTCCCCTACCCCTGGCTTGCTAGGAAGGTTTGGGGATGTGGATTGATCAGGTTGCCCAAGAAAGTTGTGGATGCCCCCTCCCTGGAAGTGTTCTCGGCCAGGTTGGATGAGGCTTTGAGCAACCTGGTCTAGTGGAAGGTGTCCCTGCTGATGGCAGGGGGGTTGGGACTGGATGAGCTTTAAGGTCCCTTCCAACCCAAACCATTCTATGATTCTATGAGTCTATGATTGGTGGTCCAGCGTGTAGACAGAAGATGCTGTAGGAACTCGTCTTGTTCTCATCTCCCATGTTATCAGTACTTTGCAGGTGCCACCACATCTGTGGTCACACTTGTGTTCCCAGTGCATGGAGTCAGGGCACAATTCTGCCCTCCTAAAATGGGTGTCTGCTATTCAGGAGATGTGTCATGCCCCAAACTCATCTGAGATCAGGTTTTCCCTGATAAAGAAAGGGAGCCTGAGGTTAGGAACCCAGCACAGCTACATGGCCAACACATAGTCTGGTTGAGGTGGATCCTACCTGGAATGATTAGTGGTTACTGGCCCAGGTGGCCACGACAGGGCAGGCAGAGGTGCCACAGAGTGATGGGCCAGTGAAGCTCATGGATTTTTATTTTCTGTGAAGATCTTGGGAGAAAAAGGAGGTTTTGCTTTTCTTCTTTGTGTCATTTTTTGGTGAATCTCCAGCTTGGCCTCCAAACCTGGGCACTTTGAGGCTTTCAGGTGACCTATGGAGGAGGCAAGTAAATTATCACTGCCCTTAGGGTGTTTCCTTACAGTGACTACACATCATTGATATTTGCTTTTATATTTTTATGATTCTGCTTGGTTTTTTTCCCTTTAGAAACCCCAAAATTGCCAAGTTCTTCCTCTTATTGCTCTATTTCCATGAGCTCTCGACTGGCTGCCGGGAGCTGTCTCAGTGCTTAATTAGTGAAATTAAGCAAACGGGGCAAGCCAGAGTTTTAGCGTGGACCTCCTTTTTCCTGAGCTAAGTTTCAGGTACTTGAGACAAATGGACAGTGATAAAAACAAAGAGGAGAGGGGAAAAAAAAAAATCTAGCAAAGCTTTTAAGCAGAAATAAAACAAATTCCCCGCTGCCTGATGTCTGGTGTTGCACCTCTGCGACAGCAGCATCACTGTAATCCCACCAGTCTCTGGCCAACTGCTGGGTTTCCCAGGAAAAGCGAGCAAAAGCTAATTTTAAAATTTTTTTAACCTCAATTTTTGACATTAAAAAAGTGTAGAAATTCTGCATCATCCAAGAGACAAATAAACTTAAACCTGGATATTCTAACGGAGCCCAGCTGGTGACCGACACCGAGCAGATGATGAAAACCTCTCCCTTTTCCCAGTCTCTTGGCCAGCAGATGCACTGATGCCTCCTAGAGAAACCACTTGAAGCTCCCACTGGTGATGCTCCCGACCAGCTCTCTAGTAACAGGATTATTTCTATTTTGGCAGGTGCAGGAACGAGCCATCAGAACCAGCAGCCACCGGTGCGTATCTCTCCTTTTCCACGTAGCGCGGGGCCGGGCGCTGCTCCTCATCGGGGCCAAAGCCCTTTAGTGGTTGTTGGTTCCACCAGCAGCAGGACCAGCTTTTTGTCCTGGAGCACAACTTGCTGACCAGAGACTTGGGGTGGCCAGTTGGCCAGGTCTGAGTTGTCAGTCAAGGACAGGGGAACCAGGTTTATAAAATCATCCAGTTCTGATTTTTATAAATATATATATATATTTAATTCCCAACCTTTTTATACGGGCCCCCTCGGTGTGAGCAGTGCAGAGCTGGCTTACAGACTCCGATCTGGATCAGACCGAGCCAGCATTGCAACCCAGCAGCATCCCTGGTGCAGATCCCCGTGCTCGGAATCTTTCTCCAGCCTGATTGTGCCTCTTGCAGGGATCAGGGTTGACCTGGAGCCACCACGGGGAGAAGAAGTTGGACTTTTGTGACGTGACGTTGCTGGAAGCCGCCCGGCAGGACAGTGACCCTGTGCTGAGGGAGTTCCTGAGGCTGCTGGCCCTCTG